ATAGTGCAGTGACAGAGATGACACGTCCTGTGTAAGATCGATGGTAAGGCAACAGGGACTTGGATATTTTCGGAAGATCCAACTATGGGTTAAATTATTCTTCTGTAAAAGATGTTACGTTTTGTTGGCTTTCAAATTTTATTCGAATATTGGTTCATCTGTCGACATCAGCATTGTCTGAACAGGATAACTAACAGATATAGACGAGTTTTTGCTAAATCTTTGGCGTCAATGATACCAACGAGGGAAGGGTCACCGAGATACGATCATAAAAAAATAATAACGGCAAGTAGAGAAAACAAAAAAACGAATAATAAATTAAATATGAAAATTAAAAATAAGTGTAGTATATACCAATTGAATATATGTGAATCAGAATGTAGTTTCCTCAAGGGGATTTTTATGTTGACTAATATCAAATATGTCAAATAATTGTATGCATATCAGACAACGTAATCAGGTCACACCTTCCCTCTAGTAAATTCTAGTAAATCCCTGACCCACAGTTCAGTAAAAGAATGCAAGAAAGAAAATACAATCGCAAAACGGTCGCGCACGAAATATTTGTAATTTGATTCGGCTTTTTATAATATGTCAAACTAAAAACCAGGAACAGAATATATGGTAAAATCGGATGAACGCTATCCGTAATATGTCAAAAATGAACCAGTGGTAGAATCATACGACATTTAAATAATAAAGTTTGTCAAACTATCTGAGCATTAGACATTGTTTACCAATATCGGAATAATAAGATTTGTCAAACTATCTGAGCATTGGACATCGTTTACCAATATCGGAATAATAAGGTTTGTCAAACTATCTGAGCATTAGACATCGTTTACCAATATCGGAATAATAAGGTTTGTCAAACTATCTGAGCATTAGACATCGTTTACCAATATCGGAATAATAAGGTTTGTCAAACTATCTGAGCATTAGACATCGTTTACCAATATAGACAACTGCAGTGAAACTTCAAGCTGTAAAACCAATCCAAGATTTGAACCAGACAAACTAGTTATCACAAACTCTGTAGCAGAGATTTTACCCAATTTATTTTATGGTTCTGTAGTTTATTTTAAACATTCCCCATACTATATCTACTTATTGGATACTGGATACAAGTTACGTTTAGAGTTTCAAGAACACTTCAAACATTTTTCAAGCAAATCCGTTTCACTCCAGGTCCTACGAGAAAAAACTTAGCTGTGTTATACTGGAACGAGAATACCGATTGTCCGTAGACAAATGTTTAGAACTTACCAGATAACGGCAGCGGCAGCAATATTTCCAAAAAAATGATACGTGGTATGTATGTAGTGTAGGAGACACGGTATAGAAAACCAAACTCAACATAAAGGGGATGGACGGCACGGTAATTAAAATTTAGTAACCGTGTCAAGGTAAAACAAATGCGTATTTCGCAATGCTATTACTAAAATAAAAAAGTTGTTAATCTATATATAATAATGATAACAGCAAAAGACGCTCTAGCAATAAAGTTAAGAGACTTCTGAAGACGAAATTCTCCTTGTAAACGTCGTATTTGAGACCTCGGTGTTAAATATAAAGCAACGTTTACTTCACACTCATGTCCTACCATGGTAACACCAGAACAATGTTTTTTCTAGCGTAGCGGATCGCCAACTAGCCTACCGACTTATTACAATTTTATTATTTTATAATGTTTAGGGCTAGTATCGTTTAAATCAATTCTATATTTTACGCCTGAATTTAATGACATAAATATGGTTTTGTTAATGTATTATCGTGTCGATTGTCTTAAATGGAACATGTTTATTTTGCTGATGTTGGAGCTACTGGTCATGGGTACTTTTATTTCAATTCCGTTCTGGTTCTATTGAAGCAGTAACAGTCAGTCATGTATTATGTCTTTTCAAATTAACTTAATATATTTGTTTGTTTGTTACTCTATAATCTAAATTATATATACACTGATGGCCTTTGATTGTAATACCATTGATGTGCACCATTAAAGATTAGATAGTCCCATTGCATGGCGGGAGGTCTATGCCTGTTATTTGCGCCTCTATAAACAATTCTGCTGCCCTCAATGTACTATCCGTGTCGATGTTGTATATTTTCGTTTTTATAGGGAATATGTGGATAATCTATAATTGTATTGTTTTGTTTTTTCATAATAGCTGTATATAATGTGAGGGTTGACTGCATCGAAATATCACGAGGTGGATGCTTTTATTACTTTTCAATCTGTCATTGGCCTGGGCGGATTGGTGGATTTGTGTAGAGTGTGTATCAAACCATGGCGGTCTTCTATGTAAATATGTATTATTGCTTCGAATATAATTAGTGTTTCCTGGGAGAGTAGTAACTTGCACAAGATTTCCATGCCTTGCATGCATGAATGCGGGCAAGCGATTCAAATTTTTAGTCAGTTTTTATTTCATGTTTAGGGCCAGTATCGTTCAATTCTGCCCAATATATTGTAAATGAGTTAAAAAAAAAACATATTCATTTTAAACAGTGAGTTCTTATTTTTGCCCACTTTCTCAATCTGTACTGTGGGACATGATAATTGAACATGACATCGAGTTCAGACTGTAGTTTATAAATTGAGCTGTTTTGTGTTAAAGCACGTGACGCAGCTGTGAATGTGAAGACGTTGACCTACATATAATAATAGTACAGGCTAATTAAACAACACAGCCAAGCTACGCAAGGGAAGAACAAAAGTGTAATGAAAAAACAAAGGAAGTACAAACCAGAAAAATGAATCTTGAAAGAAAATATTATACATTACAGTGAAAATGACCGAAACCAAAATGCATTACTCTGTATACTTATACAACATAAAGAAAGTACATTATCTGACTTTTTAGTTAAATCACTAGATTTTGTTTTCTGTAGAATATCAGTTAGTTCTAATTACGGATGAGACCCAGGTTATTGGTGCATTGCTGTCTGTGTTCTGCTTTGGATTTACTACCTGGTAATATTAGCTCAACAATGTTTGATTAAAGATGACTTGATTACATTCAGACATGCAAAACATGTTGTAAAAATGAAATGCTGTCTACAAATTTGAATACACATATTTGTGTTTATACTTAACTGTTACAATGGTGTACAAG